ATAATTTTTCAAAGGTTATTTTTGTAACTTAAACTTTTTGGAGGGTTAATTTAGTCAAGATCCCCACCATGAATGTAGTATTGGTACTTAATACAAGATTATACATTAGTTTAATAGAGAATTACGGATTTGGCTTCTACGGTATACAAATTGTTATGAAAATGGTCCTTAAAATTTATTTTTACGAATTTGGTCTTTGTGGTATGCGCTTTCTGTTGTATCTGGTCCTCCATCCAACAGATCAGTTAACTCTGAGGGTATGTTAATCTTTTCTTCATGTTTGCATCTTCGTCCCTAACATACAACTACCTCTTCCCTCCGGCGATGACACAAACGTCGTAACCACCTTCTCCAACTCTCCCTCTGGCGAACACACGGACATGGAAACCTCCTCTCTTCGTTTTCCAGCTCTCCTTTTGTCAGCCCCATTGCCTGCAACGTCTACTTCACAACACCCACTCACACATTTATATGTATATATATATATATATATGTGCACACATACATGATGGAGGTTTCATGACCTTCCCTTTTCTCGTCCTCATAAACACATAAAAAGGTAAGACTGTAGTTTCAATGGAGAGGAAGACATGGGTGGAGGTTGTAGGGGAGGAGAGCGACGGGTGTCGAGGTGAGAAACGGAGGGGTGGAATATTGGTTTTCAACAGAAAAAGGAACAATGATGGTGATGGTGATGGTGATGTTGGTGTTCGCCGAGGTGGTTGGTGGAGGTGGTTGTGGGATAGAGGTGAGGTTTCACAAGTGAGAAGGAAGAGGGGGTCCTTGCCGAAAAATGTGACGCCAGCGAGTTGTGAAGAAAAATTGTTTTTCTTCTATCCCGTGAAAGGTGTCATCATTTGGTTGGTTACTAAAAAGACAAAAAGTTAAATGAGGCAAAAATTCAATATTAAAAATAGAGGAAAATGTAAAAAGACAAAAATGCCCTTAGAATTCACTGAGAAAATAGACCGGGTTTGGTGCAGGGACAAGATCCAACATAAAATGCATACCATAAGGACCAAATTCATAATAAATAAAGTTTAAGGATAATTTTTGTAAAAAATTCACTTACCATAAAGACCAAATCCATAATTTACTCTAACTAATTCTTTTTATTTAAAACAAATTTTTATTCATAATGTTACTCAAACTCAAAATAATAGCCTAACTAGTAAATTAATTCAAAATTATGATGCATATAGCTCATAACTTAAGTTTTGAAGAAATCAAATGGTCTTTGGCCTAACGGTATGTGAGTCTTTGACCTCTTAGGATGTTAGGGATTCAAACCACACAAAAGTAAGGAGAGCGTGTGAGTTTATTTATTCTATTTGTCGTATATAAATATTATATACTTAAAAAAAAACACTTGAGTTTTGAAGAAACTTATGAATTTTATTTCCTATTGACATGAAATAAGTTGAAAACTGGTTCATTCATGGGTGGCTTGGATTCAAACTCAATACCCACAGTCTTTTTAACAAACATCCTCTCATTCTTTAAGTCAACTGAGCCACATATCAGGGGTGAAGAGAGGTTCATTTAAGAAGTTTAAATACATTAGGAATCTGAAAACCATCTATTTTATATAGATTTCATGATAAATAAATTTGAATGATAATAAATATTGTTTATCACGTCGTCAATCATAGATAAGACGAACGATCGTGTGAGAAAGAGAGTTAAGATGAGAAGCACAAAAAGAGATTTGTACCCTTGATCACCTTTAATCTCAAACTTATTCATGAATCGCGTTTGATAACGAGATTAATCTGGTGCATCTCATCCTAATGTACGTTCAAGGGTAAAGATTTTTTATTACGCTTCTAAACTTAACTGTACTTCTCATCAGAACCCAATCCTCATAAATGATACATAAAAATAAATGATTCTCAAATTATCTCAATATTTAAAATGTATGAACATAATTCACTACACTTCAGAGGGTATCGATCTTTGTGGGTGTTTTTATGTAATTCAAAGATATTAAATTTGTATCAATCTTTGCATATAAAAACAAAAATGGAAACTTTACTAAAAAATCCTTTACATGTTTATTTATCCGTGAAAAATATAAATAGATATGGGTATTGATCATATAATAATAAAGAGCAAAATGTACGAAATAATAATCTTTTTTTATAAATTTCTTTTTGTTAACATTGTATTTTCAGTATTTCTTATTACAACAATGTATATTGAAAAAATTATCTTATTATAATATTGAGTAACCTTTTGATTTAAATTTACTTATTATACCAAGTTTATATGTCACCATCAATATTAATAAAACTAGTAGAACACAATTTATCTTGCTAACATCTTCAAAAAATATGTATCTTTAAAAAAATAAAACAAAAATCGTTACTTTTTTACCAAAAAAAAAATTTATCTTTTAAAAAATATATCATACTTGCTTTAAAAAATTACTTGACATAAAAGTATATTAAATTAATTAGATTTTTTTGAATTATTCATTAATATAACAATACTAGAAAAATTGTAGATCACAATTTATCTCGCTAATATCTTAAAAGAACTTGAAAGATATGTATTTACTCTAGCATATTTAATTTGCATGTAATTTAATAAGAAAAGGTAAAAAAAGTTTTTTTAAATCATAAAATAAAAAATGAAAATAATTAAAAATAATTTGAAAGAGGTTTTTTTATACCATTTTTATTTTAGCCATGTTATCAAAATTATATGTCATCCAAATCATTTTATTGAAGCCAAGGAAACAACAAGAGTAAGAGATTTACCGGTTTAAAAAGTAACAGGTTACCTATTGCTATAATAAGTAGATTTTTTCAAAGTACGATTTCTTAATAAAAATTAGTTGAAAGTAATTGTTGTAATAAAAAAATAAAAGTAAAATAATATAATAAATAAATTTATGACAGTAGATTGTTATTTAATGCATTTAACCATATAATAAATATATAGTTAAATAATCTAATGAGACGTAA